TTAGGATGCAGAGCGCTATATCAATATGGCAAGTCTCAGGGTTTGGTCCGTCTGGATTGGGGGTTAAAGATTCGGGGCTGAAAAGAGAATCAGATTTCAGGGTCACCGGCCCTAAAACCCGCGGTTCTATGAGGTCGTCGGGCTTGTGAGGTTTCCGAAAAACGATATCCAAGAGTATTCAGTGCCCGCCCAGATCTGCGGGCACCAGCATTCCAGCAATAGTCCCACCAGATTTCTTGTCAAGGCTGATATATTGATGGATGTGTTGCGACTGAGCTACCGTGAGTATGCAAAATCCGAAAAAATCACCGAATGCGGAGCCCGTCTGAAACAGCTAGCAGCTAGAAGACTGGAACCAGACCAAACAAGTGCCACCAAGTGGCACCTCTCTCGGCTACACACCCTGGACCCTTAACCCTGAAGCCCCAACACCCTAAGACCCTGAACCTCCCCTCTCCCCAAGCACAAAAGAACGTGAGCCCGTAATCCTCCGGTGGCGCCGCCATGGATTTCGACGGCCTACTTCTACTGTTGGGGGCGAAAGCTTTTCTTAGAGGGAGTATTCAGAAAATGATTGTCTTATATCTTAGATACTTTTTCGAACGCGCAGGGCACAGTGGTCTGTAGCCCGTCAGTGCCGACTGCTTGCAGAAGTTAAATTTCTAAGGATTTGAAGTACGCATGCCTCAGGGAGCGGGGTCTATGGATGAGAGTCTTCCATCTCTCGCGATTCTGGCAATAGGATACAAAGGAGTGTTGTCCATCCGTGCTACAGAAGAGGTTCCATGGGCGGTCTGGATATGCGACAGCGTAGGTACTGCGAAGAAGGCATTATGTATATCCGAATGAGACGGAGGAGCACCTGATGCTATAAAGTCAAGTATCTGTACTGCCGCAGTCAAGCATGATTCCGCCCAATGTGGGCACGGGCGTCCCGCCCGATTGGGTGATGTCACGTGTCTATACACGTGGGAGTCCATAAAAGTCACTTGATATTCCAACGAATCTACATGTCTCCGAAGATGGCCCAGTAACTGTAGTCTTTGTTGCGAGTATAGCTGGGAGGGCGTGGGAACATGGCGCGTTGAGAAGACAAGGCCTCCTAAATATTCGTTAGAACAGTCAATCAGCAGATGTGGGTCAAAGACCCTATGATAAGAAGGAGGATTTCCAAGATGGAGGGAGAGCGGAGTGGGAAAGGAGAGGACGAAGGAGTTTAGAGGCCGAAATGGCCTGCGAGACCATATAAATTAGATGTTTCAGATTAGAAGATAATGCGTTGAGGTAACCTCCCAAGTATTTGACCTCCTCTGAGAGGGGTACTGGTTTGATGTCGTGATTATGACCTGAGCAACAGCGACAGTCGCAAGGACAAGAAAGGGAGGGTGAATAGTATATAGGTTGGCTGGAATACAAGCGGAGCTGTTCAGACTTATCCTGATTAAGAGTAAGTCCCCTACCATGATGCTGGATTAGATGAAAGCAGTCCATTTAGTTGTGTAGCTGAACAGGAGACTAGAAGCGTGTCGTCCGCAAATTCCAGGTCCCAGAGGAGAAGGGGCATGGAAGACTCCAGAGATTTCCCCATGTTGGGTCCACATGAGGTGGGTTAAAACCACGCCAAAAAGGTAAGGCGATAGGGGGCAACTTTGTCGGAGTCCTTTTGTTTGGGTTTTCTGTGTAGATTGGCTTGGCCAGGGAGTCGGCGAGCTCATTGCCAGGCATCCCTATATGAGAGAAAACTTGAAGCATAGTAGTGCGATATTTGCAGCGAACGGCTGTGTAATGCTCCTGGGCCATCGTGACCAATTTGTGGTGAGTGGTTGGGAGAGCATCTCCTTGAATTACAGAGAGTGCATATTGGGAATCTGTATTTACAACCAATTGAACCAAATCTGGGTAAGGGGAGTGGAAAAGGAGAAAATCGAAGAGCTCTATGAGAGCTTTTAATTCGCCTGTGTTGTTGGAGCCAGGTAGAGGATGGAGCATGTCAGTGGAGTTGGTTCTAACCAAGCCCCAGGCCTGGATGGCCTGGATCCAGGTATCATCCACGGGGGGTGGTCTGAAGGGCTAGCGGCTGTGGTCATGGTGAATCCCCAACCCGCGCGATTGTCATACGAAACCACTCTGTTATTGGGACAGGAGCCATCCGTGTATGCCAAAATAAATGGCACATCCACGTGTTCGGCCTTTAACTCATTGTTCGTATTAGAAAGGAGAGATGGTTCAATGTTTCAAAAGAAGGTAGCTAGTTGTGTAGAGTCAAATCGATCTTTTCGAAAAAGTGAGGTATTGGGGTACTAGGGGTAATGGCTGGGTGGAGCGGCGCGCAGTGGGAGGGTGGAAGGGGGTACGGCCCTTGTCTACCATTACCATCTCTGATGCCAAAGGCGACTGCTGCTGTTGGTCGCCGTCCCAGTTTCAGTGGGCGCAGTTTGGGGAGGCACCGAGTTCGAGGCTGCGTCCATGCCGGACGCGGGCGCTTCGGCCATGTAACGTGAGTGCTTCCCAGGAACAGCCGTGACCTAGATTTACCTAAGTTGCTGGCGCAATCTGCGAAGTAAGTTGTTGTGGGCGCACACTTGGTGCACGACTGTTTGTTCTCAGCCCCTTTCGGCCCTACGGGCTTCCCTCCGGGCAGGGATCGCTTGGCTGCTCGAGCCTATCTTAGATACTACGCCTACATACTATTGCATAGACTGAGTGCTTCCAGTCGTGGAAGATAGGCTTCAGGACTCTGGTGCGCATGATGTCGAGCGGAGTTCCTAGGTCGAGCTTAAAACAAACGAGCCTCGGGCCTCGGGACTCAGCGTCAAGGATTCGGGGGTGTAGGGTCCAGACTTCAGGGCTCAAGGCTCTAGCTTTAAATTCAGGAGGCCTACTTTCTTGGCTTTCTGCTTTTAGGGCTCAGGGCTTGGGATCTTTGCCTTTCGGAAAAAAAACCAAGTTGAAGGGAGGCGGTTTGTGGTGAAACCCCGAACACCTCAAAGGATCCCCAAGAGGCCCCCGGCCCGACGCCCTTGCTTTGGGATGTATGGCAAGGGGACTTCATGATTCGAATCGAGTTTGGTGGGTTTCGTGCTGTTTTTGGAATGATATGGATGCATACGTGCTGCGACTATGTTCGGCATCCCGAGATGCCACAGGAGCACTAAACCGCAAAAAACTTATCCACGTAGAGGGCGTGGTCCGTTAAAGTCTGAGTCTGTAACAGCAACAGTACGGACTATTGAGTAAGCTCAGCATTTAGCACCAAACTTGTCGCGGTGTAGTCTGCAACAGAGCATGGAGGAAGCTACTACAGCTTGTAGGGACAAGTTTTGACAAAAGCAGAGAGCCATGGATATAGCCTTAAGCCCCGACCCAAAACCCTAAACTCTAAACCCTGAAGCCTAAGCCCTCACGGCCCTCCAGCCCGCCTCCCGGACTCACAGCCACATGAGCAGGCTTGCAATTAGCTTAGGTGCTTTGGAATTGTCTTTGAGCTCAAGCGGCTTAGAAGGCTAAGGGCTAAGGGTTTTCAAGTTTGTCTCTCGGGCTGCAAATTGCTCGAGTCCTATTAAACAGTCAAGATGGGGGCTGTCTTCGGTTTCATGTGACATATTATGTTTATGAATTCCCACCTGTTTCTCGCATGCCTCTACTGATGTCAAGTCTTGTTGGACTCCGAGGTGCGGTGGGGGTTGGGGTTACGAGCATCTGGCTGCCACGTTTCTGGCTGCCTGGGTGAAAGCCTCCATGCGAGCCAAGCGCAGCGTCGGAGCTGTGGCATTCGCTGTGTGTTTGGGCGGGGTTTTGGGGATGCAGTTTGGAATTTACGGCCATGGGGCTTTAGGGCCGATCTGGACCTCCTAGGTCCTAGGTTTTAGGGTATCTGGGCTTGCTCAGGTTTAGCGCTTGAGGACCTCATAACTTATCTATGACCCAAGCAAGAGCTCAGGGCGCAGGGCCACAACAAACGACCCTCCACACAGCAACCCATAGCCATCAAGTCCGACTGTATGGACAGTGAAATGGGAGTTGGGACAATGGAAATTAGGCAGATTCGTCTCGATGAACCCAACAGGCGCTAAACCCAAACAGCTTCAGGGTCTGGGGTTGCAGGCTTACGAAACACCGGCACCCCAAAGCCAAAAGAGTTGTAATTCTATGCCGCTCAGGTCCCTGTGGTTGAGTTTGGGCGTGCCGGGGCCGAATTTCCGAAATTGAGGTCGTGGTCCGGGGGCTGAGCTTAGCAGCCTCAAGAAGCGGTCAAGCATCTACAGGGCTGTGTATCATTCTAGCAAAGTAGACCTGACAACCTGCGGCTTTTGTCCTTCTAACCCTGGCTAAACATACTTGCTGGCAGGCTCGACACAACCCCAGATATTTAAAGCTCTATAAACTATCGTGGCTTTGTCCTTCTAATCCTGGCTAAACATACTGCTGGCAGGCTCCACACAACCCCAGAAGTAAAGCCCTAAACAATCAAAAACCCTTCCAGCCTGGTGCCTGAAACTAAAGACCCCGCAGGTACAGACCCTGAAAGCCTCTGACCTACTGAAATCTAGACCCAGTTTCAAGACTCGAGACCCCGGAACCTGAAAAAAAGCTCCCAACAAAGATAGATGTCGACAATAATGACAGCAATAATCATCGTGATGGCAGATGACAAACCCTTGTGAGACCTCCAGTGTTCCCAGGCCCCTCTGTTGGGGGGCAATTTTTCATGCAGGGGCAGGGGATGATCTTGGTGCTGAGGCGAGTCGAGGGTCTACATGGCTATCCTCTAACAGTACCAATAGGCCCTAACACTTATGTGCTTATGCCCTGAAACCCCGGGTGGTGAACCAAGCTGGCAGGTGGCTGCATCATTCCATCCGCAACAGACAAACTAGCCTCCGAGCGATCACAATAATTACTGTCACACTCTAAGGAGCGCTCAAGTTACTAAAGCCATGAAAGCGCCACATAATGCGCACTAAGGTCACCGGGGCTCAAGTTTTTGTCCCGCCGGCGGACTACATGTTCCCGGGGGTCCTGCGTGGGGTGACACGGGGGAGCAGTTGCGGCAATCTACCGGAACTTTCATCCACAATGCGCTCGTGGATCACGTCCGAATAGTCCTTTGTCGATGCAGGGCTCAGGACATGGCAGCATCTGTATGCAGTTCAAGTCGCAGGGGTGCTGACAGCTCCACGGTGTTGGACACAGTTGCAGATTTCTAAGGTTGTTGGTAGACATGGGTTGAAGCATGCAGAAGACCGATATCCATCCATGCAGGCGCTGTGTCAAGCTTGCCGTGCGCACTGGCCTCTAGCAATCAAATCCTAGATGACAAACCCCAAATACGGTTTCGTGTGATGATTCTGGGGCTCCTTGGTACACATCGCGGGGCAGCTGGTTGGGGTGGTTGAGAAGGGTATGGGGAGCTGCACCGACTTTGGCTGCAACTTTGTCCGGTGCTTGACAGCAGCCTTGATGCTGCGGATAATTCCGACGTGTTCCGCCCGATGCGTGCGCGAACTCCCTAATTAGGCTTTGAGGATCTTTAAGGTAGAGGGCCCTGCCTCCACCTTGGACTTTAGGGGCTCTAGTGCTTCCTTGAAAAAAGCTGCGGCCCAAGCGTCAACGCAGGCGAGGCTGTTCCGGAAGTTGTCCTGCATCATAGGGGGACCCTCAAAGTCGAAGCCCGGAAGCCCCGGAGCAATAGTCCCTGGCAGGTCCCCGGGGGGAGTGGATTTTGGGATTGGATCGAACTAGCCCTGGACAAACAAAGATCGCAGGAGATCAATAACGGTCTGGGTGTGTTTGGCTGCCTGTGCCGTGAACACATGCCGGTTTGGGCTTCGGGATTAAAAAAAGGGCCGAAGATGCCGCGACCGAGATTCCACAGTCTGATCCCTACAACTAGACTCTGTAACGTCACACGAAGACCTGACCCTGAATCTGGAAGCCCTCAGATGCTGCACGAAGAACTTTGTGCGAAAGCTTGGGAAGAACATTCGGGCCTGAGCCCAAGCCTTGCAGCCTAGACTCTAAGCGTCAACCCCAAACCCGAAATCCAGTATGCGGCGAGTGCAAAGAATGAGACCAAGGTCGTTACGTCCGCCTCGGGGTGCTCGTAGTCATCCGCATTGCAAGGGAAGTCCGAATCTATGCGGCAGACTGGCTCCGCCTCCGCGTAGGAATTCCTTGCTCGGACAGCGTTCAGTCAATTTTTCAGTTGGGACTTCGAGCTGAAGGTGCTGGGATGCTCAGGGCTATGGGAGCTGGGCTCGCAGCTCTTGGTGGGGGGTTCAGGGTCTACGGGGGCGGCAACTTGAGATTCGAAGATCCCCTCAAAGGAAAAGGCGTGCCTGAGCTCCAACCTAGGCCCGAGGCTCCAGTCCAAGAACCGAATTGGACATGTACTCCTAGCACTGAAATATCTAAACTTCGATAACTCAAACAATGGAAAAGCACTTTTTTTAACCCGGAGGTGTTAAGCCCAAAGCTGTCCGAAAAGCATGACGTCTTGACTCAGAAGTGCCTTCGGCGAGAAATACAAAGCGCTAACCCTGAGCTTTAGAGTTCGGGCTTTATTTTGGGGTTCAGAGGCTTACGCTTCGCAATTGGAGCTTCAAAGTTCAGGTTCAGGACTCCTGGCTTGGAGATGTAAGGCTGTGGGTTCTAGTGTTTCGGGCTTCCGGTGGTCAGATCCAGGCAAATCGAAACGCTTGCATCCCCCGCAAGCATACACCCGCGAATCAAGCACCTTTATAACTCGGACCCCCAACAGCTCGATACAATCAGATACCTTGAACAACGATAGCAGCAGAAATCTACAGGAATGACGATGATGATGATGGTGGTGAGGATGACGATGATGATGGCGATGTGACAGCATTACATAATCACGGCTAGTATCGACTAAGAGCGAACAACATCATAACTCACCCGTGAACCCCACACCCTAGAAACTCTGCAGACCAGCGCCAGCAATCATTGGTGGTCTCCGTGAGCTCGACCCCCTAAATACAAGCCTCGCAACCTTGACGCTCCGAACCCGTCTCAAATTCTTATAAAGGTATCCCTAAACTCTAAACCCTAAACCACTCTTTTCCAACTAAAGCCCGGGTCGGACAAGGCTCTTGCCACATCGCGCGGAACCGAGGTCTCCATCCTCAAGGTTCCTCGGGCGATCTCCCGTTTTGGGTCTTGAAAGGTGATAGAGGGGTACTAAAAGAATGGGAGCCATGGTAAGGGTACTTATATTTATATGGTTTTATTGACTTAAATTCGAGGGCAAAGGTTAGGATCCCAGCGTCAGGGCTTCTGGTATAGGGTTTGGGGTTCTCAAGTTTTAGGTCTCAGCGTTTAGGGCTTGAGGTCAAAGGGTTCGGCTTTAGGTTTCGGGACAAACAAAGGGCCTAAACCCTAAACTGCCGGGAGCCTCCGCTGACCATTGACATGGACTCTCGAGGCTCCGACCACGGCCCGCCCAGCCACCCAGGGCCAAATTGCCGGAAGAAGGCTTCTATGGCCAGCTCTTCTGGCCTTTAAGGGGCAGCACAAACCTTGGATGGGAAGATGCTGTGGTCTGTGACCTTTCCTGGCCTGGCACTGAAAGAACGCTCGCATGCTGCCTGGATCGCACATTTTGCTACGACAACTGAACGCGGCAGAAGACTTGACAGAAGAATGGTCCTGCAAAATCCATTCCTGCTTGTGAGCGAGGCAAAAGAAATGCAGCAGAGCATCCAAAGATGTCAATTTGCCTCCCCTGAATGAACACATGTAAATCGCCCCTCAAACGTTAACGTGTTGTTAAGACATTGCTCACCAAGAACTCTGGAAGCACATCACTGGCTCAAAGTACGGAGAGAACAAACCCTAAACCCTGAAAGGCGGCCCAGCTTGGGATTAGAACTTAAGCCCAACACCCGAAACATCAAATCTTAAACCCTGACAGGCCCTAAACCCGGAACCCGAAAGCCAGGACCCCGGAACTTGAAACTCCAAACTCCCCAAGCCCTGAACTCACCAAAAAGCCTCTAGGCCACAGCTCCAAACAAGAGGCAAAACCCGTAACCGTAACCCTCAGGACCACAACACTGGAAGGGCCGAGGGTCCCTGTAAAGTGCGATGGCTGCGTCGGCCTCCGCTCGCCCCAGGAATGGCCCGGGAGGCGCACCCCCTGCAAAGGCTTTCAGAAGATTCTCAGATGGGCTTAAGGGCTTAGGGCTGCAGGCTCAAGGCTTAAGTTCTTTGGGGTCTCGTCGAGTTGAACTTGAAGGTCTGTTGTTTGAGGATAGCAAAGCTATCCCCGATCTGCTTCGGACTTAAGGAACCTAAAGACGAGCAATCCCGAAGTGCAGCAGCTGTGTTAGGTGTTGGGACATCCAGTAGCAGCCTGTCGGGTTCAAGGTACTCAGATATCATTGCTTTGAAAACGGGGTTCGTCCAGGGTTCACACATACTCCAAGTGCATAAAATGCTGCTAGCTGCTAGCTAGCAGGATTTTGGTTCGTTATGGCCGAGGTGCTTGGCGTCAGGAATACACATTGCGAAATTGGTGCACCGGATAAGGGCCAAACACGAAAGCACAATTCCACAAAACTTACAGGCTAGACCCCAAAACGGGCCTGGATTCTCAGGTCTCAAAACACAACACCCACCACCAGACCACGGCGACGGCAACCCTGGAACCCAGCAGCCCAACAGTAAAGCACAATCCCGTTGAGTTCTCGAGCCCCTTAAGCACACTCACACCATGTGAACCGAAACAAAAGCCGCGAGGCTTCCAAACTCTGAACCCTCATACCGTAACCCCGCGAATTTCAAGAAGGAAGACATCCCCATCAACAGAAGCACAATACGAGGAACCCCCCCCCAAAGTTCGAAATTTGATGAGTCACAAGCTCCGAAACCATGAACTGAAGCAACAATCATCAATACTGTCCATGTGAATGTTCGTGGCAGCAACAGTACTGATGCAGAAAGGGTGGGCTTGAAAAACAGAGTCGCACTGCTGACAGTCAGGGACTGCAGCTTTATTTACGGTGAGCTTACAAGAGTTTGCCTCCAGACCAGTACCGCGCCCGGTGAAGTAGGCCAGCCCAGCGCAGGTGGCATTCTTTCAGGGCCCCGGTGCGCAAGGGCTGGGGGTGTTGGGAGCGTTGGGGCTTCGGGAAAAGGCAAAGAAAGATTCGATCTTAGGCTTTCCCTAAATTCTAAACCCTAAACCCCAAACCCTAAACCCTAAACTTCAGGCTTTAGGCGTTCAGGTTTGGGGTGTGTAGGATGGAATTGTAGAACTGAAGCCTTGCCGCGAAACCCTGATCCACGACTCCCTGTCAGGTCTGGGCTGTTTAAGTTCGAAACCTGTGAGCCATACATTTGGGAGTTTCGGAATATGTGCAGAAGATGCTCAATAGCAAGGATGTTTTCTTAAGATTCTGCACCCGCCATCCAGAATAAGTTACCCAAGATTTCAGGACACCCCAGGTACTTTACTGGCCTCTCCAGGGCAGCGGCATGTGAAGGAGTTGTTGGAGATCTGGTTGTTGATGGAGGGCCAGGCCTCTACGCACGGCTCCAAAGTTTAAGAAGAGTCGGGTCTCTTGCACACACAAGTTCCGTACAACCCCTCCATGCCAGGAACTCTGCAAACACAATGCTCGCTCCGTGACGTGCTCATCAGGCTGCCCAGAAACCTGACGAGCCAAAACCCCGCATGTAAGTCTTGAGCCTCGGTTGACCATGTGGACATCGTTCTGTCGTTCAAGGAGCATCGAGATTTGGTTTGGGACAGTACAGGATCGGACTTAGGATTTGCTATTTAGGAGTCTGCAAGTCGAACTTGGAAGTTTTCAGGCTGTGAGGGCTTGGGCTGTACACTGCAGGGTCTACAGCTAAGAACCAAGACCCAAGCCATTTCCCCACATACGCTAAACCCGAAAGCCTGAACCCGAAAGACCAGTCCCATTGAAAGAAGCTGAAGCCCGAAGCAGATTGGCCCGTCCGCGCCCCGGCATGTGGCCGGTGGAGCAGCGCGAAAGCCAGCACCGTGTCCGTGCCGTTCGGAAGATCCGAGAAAGGAACGGCATCGACCTCGCCTCGACATCAGAGGATCCGAACCCTGAAGCATGGGGGGCCTTAACGTCTAGAACGGGGTTCTTTGGGAAGTAGTTGAGTGCAGTTCTCCGACCCTGTGTATTGACAGTGCTAGAAGGTGTTAGGACTTACGAATTAGGCTAGAGCGTTTAGAGCTCACCGGCTTTACGTGGGGCAGAAGGCTTCAGGGTCGGACAACGGGACCTGGCAAGACTTGGGGGCCCAAGATCCCAAGCCCGTGGAAAGTCAAAAATCTTTCAGAAACCCTCAGCCGGAAGACGCAACCCTAAACACTTGACCCAAAGCAATGCCAAGGCTTGGGGCTTTGGATTTAGGGGTCCCAAACTGTGAAGCTTTGGAAATATGGTGTGTACTAGTGTTGTTATGATTGTTTTGTTACTACTACTACTACTACTA